TCCATGGCTTTTGGTATGTCCTCAGAATTATACTCCCATCACCACAATTTTTAGAACCTTTTTGTTGCACCCTAGAAAAACCCTATACACCTAACCTATCACCTCTCATTTCCTCCATTCTCCATACCCCAGCCCTAAGCAAGTACTAATGTATTTTCTGCCTTTACAGATTTGCCTATTCTAGACATTTAATATAAATGGAACCATGCAATATGTGTTTTTTTGTGACTTTTTTTCGCTTAGTATAATGTTCTTAAGAGTCACCTATGTGTAGCATAATCAGTTCATTCCTTTTTGTAGCCAGATAATATTTAATTGCATGGATATGGCAGTTTTGTTTCCTCAGTTGATGCACATTGGGCTGGTTTCACTTTTGTTTATTATGGATAATACTGCTGAGTATGGATACTGCTGCTGAATACTTCTGTGTATAAGTTTTTGTGTGGACACGTATTTTCATTTCTCTTGGGAGAATTCCTAGAAGCAGAATTGTTTGGGTCATATGGTAACTCCATGTTTAACTATTTGAGGAACTGCCAGATTATTTCCCACACTGGCTGCACCATTTGACATTCCCACCAGTGGTAGATGAGGGTTCCAATTTCTCCACATCTTCACCAACACTTTTTCTTATCTGTATGTCCTTATGAATGTGAAGTTGGTATCTCATTGTGGTTTTGATTTGCATTTCCTCTAATGACTAATGATGTGTTAAGCATTTTTTCATGTGCTTTTTTTTTGTTTTCAGAATTGACACATTTCTTTGCCAGAGATCTCTGATGATCTTTAGAAAGGTGGAAGATGATTTTGTTGTGTTGAGGCCTGAGTGGGAAGGAGCAAGGTGATTGCTACCCTTTTAGGAAGTAGGAGGATAGAGGGTATGCATGTTGAAGTGGCTAATTCTGCAAACAGACTTGGTGCAGACTTTTTTCTGGAGGTGAATTGATGAAGTCACAGCCATGAGCTGATGTTACTCTGGTTAGCAACAAGGTCTTCTGAGATCCACTGTATAGTCCCACTGTGTCCATTGGATGCACTTAGCTAGAGGACCCAGCTGTTAGAAGGTCTGGAGGTAGGCATCTTCTTAGTTCCAGCAACAACTTCTTGATCACTATTAGTCTAGGGCTTCCTCATTAATTGTCTGGTCATTCCTGATGATCCTCCTTGTCATTTTGTGGCATCAAGACTCTCTGTGAGGATGGCTGTTCATTATCCTCCTCATTGTCCACCTGTTACTGTGAGAGATAAAGGTGTCTCCTGAATAACGCTTTTGAAAAGTCTTAAGTTCTCTCATCTCAGTAGGAATTGTAGAGATGCAGTCTGTGATTCTCTATGTGTGCTGTGTGTATGCTGATATCGTTTCTATCATTTCAAGCTCTAAGTACCACTGGAGAAGAGAAGTTTCCTGGCACTTCTATAGTCACTTAAAATCTGGGCCCTCACTAATCAGAACTCTACTCTGAACTCCTCATAGCTAGGGATTTTCACTTCAAATTTGCATGTCTCTGAACTGGGATAATTTTACCTAGGCTGAGATTTTTTGGCCATCTCTTTGCCCCTGTAATACACCATCTGGATGTGTTGGACCCTCTCCAAGGCAAGGATGGAGAAGAAGCTTTCTACCTTCTAAGGAGAAGGCATCGTTCAGGTCCTAGCCCTTGATCTTTGTTTTAACTGCACAGCTTGAGCAGCCTATTTACTAGGGTGAATTGAGGAAGTAGAGTGGGGCTTCCTGTCTGAAAGTGGACAGCTAATTCCTGCCAGTGATTCGGGCTCTTTACTAAAATAGTGAAAGAAAATCACCTTTTTTGATATAGCACCTCATTGGCTTGCCCTAGGAAAATTCCTTCAGCCCTGGGTAAAATTAAGTCATGAGTATGGGTTATTTAAAAAAAAAAAAAAAGCCAATTCCCAAGGAGCTAGGTGCAGCATCTAGTTCGTAATGTGGCTTTCAGAGTGTCAGCCCCTTTGGGTAGAAATTCCATCTTGTTCACTGTTCAGTCACCAGGGCCTGATGGCAGTTCATGCTCAATATAGACTTGGAGCGGTGTGGAGGAAGGAAAGAGGGCAGGTGCTGGTTGGTTGGCCTGCAGTTAGAAGGGCTGAATAAAGTCCTGTAGTGCCCTAGGCGACATATTCACTTAGCAGATACTTTATTGTGCCACTGTGGTCAGTGCCTTTCTCTGGGAAGGTGTGTGTTGGAGGAGGGGCTTCCTAAAGTATGTCATGGAGTCACACATAGAAACTTTAAACAATCCAAGGTGGACCGGTGTTTTTAACTCATAATACTCCTTTATTCCCTGTTTTAAATTTTTTTTTTAAATTTGATACAATAATTATACATAATAATGGAGTACAATGTGAGATTCAGTCCACATATACATTGTGAAATGATCAAATTAGGGTAGTTATCATGCACATCACCCCCAAATAATTATCACTACTTTTGTGGTGAGAACACTTAAAATTGTCTCTTTTAGAAATATACATTATTATTAACCATAGTCACCTTGCTGTGCAATAGAACACTAGAATTTATTCCTCCTAACTGTAACTTTTTACCTACTGACCACTCCCCTCGCCTCCCCCTCTCGCCTCCCCCTCTCGCCTCCCCCTCTCTCCTCCCCACCCCTGGTAACCAGTGTTCTGTTTTCTCCTATGATACCAACTTTTTAGCGTCTGCATATGAGATTGTACAGTATTTGCCTTTCTGTGCCTGGATTATTTTATTTAGCATAATGTCCTTCAGGTTTATCCCTGTTGCTGCAAAAGACAGGAGTTCTCTCTTTTTTTCTGGTTGAATAGTATTCCATTGTCAAAAGTGCTGTAAGACTAGGAAAGGAACACTGCAGGCTGGAGCCCTGGGGAAAGTGGTCTGAGGCAGGTGGGACTGGAGCTGGGGTTTGGCAGACAGGCTGGGTTTGATTGTCAGCATGATGGAGAGCACTCATGTGCCAGCTGGGTGGGAGGAGCAGCAGAGTGAAGACTGGGAAGCCCCTCAGGAAGCATGTGCAGGGTTTGTGGTGATGAGCAGACCAGCAGGTACGTAGGGGAAGAGAGGGGTGTGATGGGGCAGAGGAACTTATGTCATAGTATAAGACAGAAGTTGAGCCTCATTTTAATGGGCATTGTGGTGGTATTGAATAGTGATGGAATGTATGGGTCTGGAATCAGACTGCCTGGTCAAGGGCTCTGAAACTTGAGTGTGCATCAGAATCACCTCGAGACTTGTTAAAGTGTAGACTGCGGACCACATCTCCCCAGTTGCTGATTCAGTGGGTGTGGGTGGGGCCTGAAAATTCACATTTCTTACTGGCGATGCTGCCGTTACTGAGTTTGGGACCACGTTTGGAGAACCACTGGTCTAGAATTGAGAGGTTGGCAAATCTTTTCTGTTAAGAGGTAGGTAGTAAATATTTTAGGCCTTGTGGGCTACACAGAGTATCAGTTACATATTCTTTATTGCTTTTCATGACCCATTAAGCATATACATATCATTGTCTGCCATATACAAACAGGCTGTTGGGGGAGTGAGGATGACATAGGGAAAGTGGGGCGTGGTTTAATAACCCCTGGGCCATGCCTAGATGGTCAGTCCTCTGCCACATAGCTGGCTGACCTTTGCCAAGTTAATCACCTTTTGCCTTTATTTTCTCATGCTTCTCATAAAACAGAGATGATAATATTCATAACTTCTTACCATACAGAACTTCTGAGGATTCAGTGAGCTAAGCCACAAAAGATTGTGTGTCACAATGTCTGGGACATAGCTAGAATTTATAATTTATTTTTATTAATAGTAGTACTACCAACTACTGGTTACTCTGTTGATAGGCAAGGGGAAAACAGTAAGAGGCAGACCAACAGTGATCCAGGGCTCTGAAAGCTAATTGCTTAAAGATCCTGCTACCATTTTCTTTTGGGCTACTTGCAAAGAAGAATCCTTTAAAGCATATATGTACACTTTGAAGTACATCCTGGGTTAGTCCCTTATATCGGGATCATTGCTCAGTCTGTCCCTTGAGTGGCACTTAGAAAATGGCGCTGTTCGTAAGCTGACTGGTATTGGGCCCAGGACTCTGGCTGAAGGGATGGGCATACTGGTAACCATTTGCAACCTGTGCTCAGGTCCTACTTGTTGGAAGCCCTGATTGAGAAGAGTGGCCTGGTCTGTACTTGCGTTAGATAGGATCTGGCTGCATTAATATTGAAACTACTCTGCCTTTTAATGTCTCATTTTTGCCTCATGGTGGGAGTGAAAGTGAGAACCACAGAAAATCTGCCTGCCAGGTGTTCCACATTTCTTGTGCTACAGCATGCAACTGAGCAGTGAGGTATAGCTTTCCCTCATGTAGCTGGGAAAGCGGTACCCCCGCTTGTACCTCTGGCATATCTTCTCTGTGCTGGTGCACCTAGAGAGGTTGCCTGGTGGCCCTGAGAGAGCCATCTCATCTCTAAACACTGATAGTGAAAGCTGGCCATGCTCAAATAAGATGGAGCAATCTACCTCTTCCTTGTTTAGTTACCCCCAAGGGGGCATCCACTTTCTTGCTCACCTCACCAGTTGCATGTTCTAGTCCTTGCCAGAAGCACATAATAATGACTTTGTAAGCTTAAGTTACAGGCACACAAAAGTACCTGATGGTGATATGACTCCACCCTCTGCTTGGGTTTTTGCTGACATTCAGTGAAATATCCTTCCATCTCCTCCCCACCTTGCAAAACAAACTTCCTGTTTTGAATTTGGTCCAGGCTGGAACAGCCCCACTACACCTGTTAACACACACAGACACACACTTCCCCCTTCATATTTGCTTAGCTTCTTGTTGCCTAGCCAGATTTCCCCTCAGCTTACAGATCCTGAATCATAAGGTATTGAACCAGGAAATTTAAGAGTTAACATTTTACTTAGAGGTATTCAAGTGAAAACATGGCTTCTGATTTATTTTGCTGTATTGTGCCATGACTACTTTGCTAATTCTTCCCCTCCTTCACAGCAGAATGGAAGTGAGGAAAGGCAATCAGCTGACACAGGAGCCAGAGTGAGACCAGCAGACTCTCACACTGAACCTACACCATGAATTTGTGTCTATCTTCTACGCGTTAAGAGCCAAGGACAGGTGAAGTTGCTGGAGAGCAATGGCTGTCTTTACTCCGTGGAAGTTGTCCTCTCAGAAGCTGGGCTTTTTCCTGGTGACTTTTGGCTTCATTTGGGGTATGATGCTTCTGCACTTTACCATCCAGCAGCGAACTCAGCCTGAAAGCAGCTCCATGCTGCGTGAGCAGATCCTGGACCTCAGCAAAAGGTACATCAAGGCACTGGCAGAAGAAAACAGGAATGTGGTGGATGGGCCATACGCTGGAGTCATGACAGCTTATGGTAAGCACTGTGTTTCTGGGACCTCTCCATTAAAGTGTGCCTTGGCCTTGAAAGTGGCCCTAGAAGCTCCCAGACATGGTCTTGTCATGCCTTCATAAGCAGTGAATTGCACACAGAGAGGCATCTTTAGGAAATTAAAGCAGTGCCATTTTCATTGTTCTGAGCCTGGTGTATGCAGACACACTTTCCGCTGGAATCAGTGGGTTAGGACAGTTAGGGCCCTATTGGTTGTGTTTGCAGCTAGCTCCTTCTCCCTGAGCACATTTCAGGAACCATGTGATCTCATGTGGGAGTGAGTTCAGGGAATGCTGAAAAATATTCTCATCGTTCCCTAAACAAAACTTAATTAAGGCTGGTGGGGGTGAGGTGAAGAGGATGGGGAGGAATGGAAGCCAGTAAACTTAGAGCCAATTGTGTGCCTCCCTCCAGCCGAGAAGTAGGACACTGGCACTTGCATCCTGGTGAGTTTTAATCTTTGGCTTCTTGAGGTTATGTTGCTCTTCTTCTTGCCCTTGTCTCTAATTGCCCTCACTTTAAAAGGAATCTTTGTGTACTTGTTGCTTTTTTTTAAAAGAATTTTTTTTTCAGAATTATTTTTGAAATCATAAAGAGTAAAAAGATACACATATGGAATGTAACTTATTTTTCTTTTATGTTTAATATAGAAAAAGTTGGAAGCTGTAGACAAGCAAAAAAAGAAAAAAATTACACATAAGTCTACTACTCCAGGCAATAACCACAATTAACATTTCAGTGTGTATTTTTCTGATATTTTACATATACACACACAAAAATATATACATATATACACAAATACAAAAAAATTGCAAATGGATTTCAGAATATGCTGTGTTTTGCAGAGCAGAATTGGTCTGTAGAAGATGACCTGTTGTTGAGTGAAAAAGTCTGATCATTGAATTGAGGTTTCAGTGGTCTCACTGAAGTGGTCTCCATGATAGTATAGATGAGATACAAGAATGGGGTTAGGTGAGGTGGAGAAAGTGGAGTTCTGTTTTGTGACCCACTCAAGGAAGGTGCCCTGAAGTATGCAGAGTTCAAATCGTGATTCCCAAAAATGTGCAGCAACAGTTCAGTGCAGATTGAGTTCAGACACAGGAAATCATACTCAGTTATACATGTACTTTTTTCTTTCCAAAAGGGGAAAAAAACTTGTTTTTAAAAATATGTAAAATTTTATACACACGTGTGTGTGTGTGTATATATATTTATTATAGAAGATGCTTCTAAGGAACATTGTAGAAATTCTTTTCTAGTTCTTACTATGTAAATAATCATACTCTGCTTTTAATCTGTTAAAAGTGTAGGCATTGGCTTTTAATATATCTAAATAAAATGGTACCTTTTTTGAACTGATGGATTTAAAAAATGGGATTCGACTGTGGGAACTTACACTGAAAAACAACTAGGTAGTTTTTCCTAGAGTTGCATTTTAAAATTGCTCATTGACTCACACTTCTGTAACGTTTCCAGAGTAGTTGAGATAAACCAACAGAAAATAAAGTTGATTGTCACCATTAGTGTTACCAATGTATATAACGTAGCAGGTAACACAGGTACAGTTTTAAAGTTTCTGGTTGTATGCATTTCATGTTATAGCTTTGAAGGGAAAGAGTTACAGCTCAGTGGTAATTTTCTCTTGTTTCTCTTAGTCTGTCAAACCTTTTCTATGGCCAAGAAGCAGCTCCACAAATAGCAAATTTGTAGGCTTTAAATTTCTCCAGTTGTTTTGGCTGTTTTTATTTCTTGTGTACTGCTAAAAATCTCATAGGGAAGGCTTCCCTACTTAAGGACAGTAATTTGGTCTTAGCTTTTCAGCCTCACAGAGATATTATTTTTTAAGTTACAAAAAAATCTCAGAATAGGCTGTTAGAATTTCAGCCACCCTATATGCTTGTAATCATAGGACTTTGCATCTCAAAGAAACTATAGAAATTATTCATTCCAACTTACTTTTGTAGATGAACCTTAGCAAAATAATTTCTTTTTCTCAAAAACAACAAAGAAACAATCAAACAGGTCACGTGAGCAACTCTAACTCACACTGCTAGTTTTCTCTTTCTTCTAATCAACTTTTTAACATATCAAAGTGGTTTTGAGAGCTGAGTTTCTGGAATTTAATTGGACTTGTATGCATGTGCTTGAGGTATTGGAGGTTATCACATGGTGAGATCCTCCTAAGACACGGTGTCTCATTTGGTGCTATTGACATTTTGGTCTAAATAGGTCTTGATTGTGGATAGGATTTCAGCAGCATCTCTGGGGTCTCTACCCACTAGATGCCAGTAACAGCTCCCTAGTTGTGACAGTCAAAATGTCTTTAGACATGTGATAATTGTCTCCTTCCTGCCACCTTGGAGAACTGTACTAAGAGTGGAAACCACAAACGCCATCTGACATCATCTTTTTAAGGATGTTATCAAGCAGATAACTGGTTTTAGGTTTTTTGTTTGTTTCTGAGATAGTGTCTTGCTTTGTTGCCCAAGCTGGAATGCAATGGTATGATCTTGGCTCACTGCAACCTCCGCCTCCCAGGTTCAAGCCTCAGCCTACAGAGTAGCTGGGATTACAGGCACACACCACCACGCCCAGCTGCTTGTTGTATTTTTAGTAGAGACGGGGTTTCACCACGTTGGCCAGGCTGGTCTCGGACACCTGACCTCAGGTGGTCCGCCCGCTTCGACCTCCCAAAGTGCTGGGATTATAGGTGTGAGCCACCGTGCATGGCCTGATTTTAGTTATTTTAAACTTGAAAGCCTAGTCTTACCCCTGGTTTCCAGTTCTGGCACCAACAATGTGGATTGAATGAGAGGATCGTACTAGGGATTAGTATAGTCCAGGGCCAGTCCTAGAAGCTGGAGAGCCATTCTGATGACATATGCTTCCCTTGGAATCTGTCAGTATCAGTAACATTGTGTGACATGCAGGCAGCCCTGGCAGTTAATGTCACATGGTGGTCCAGAGAATGTAGGATTCTTAGTAGTGTAGCTGGGCTGGCAGAACGGTGTTGGGGATGCATGGGCCATTAGTTTGCAGTCTCTTTTTTTTTTTTTTTTTGCCATAAATGCAACCTATGTGCAGTGCACTGCCTACACATCTGCTTTGAAAGAGTGAAGAGTTGATCCTGTATGGCTGGGATTTGTGTCTGGTTTAAATGAATCCAGCAAAATGAAGAAAAAAATTCCTTCTTTCTCTCATCCCCATATTGGTATAATCAGAGGCTCTCAGGATAAATGGGTCTACAGTAGGTATTTGAGGGATTGTAGTAGCTGATTTTAGATGATTGCTGATTTATTAGAATTTCTGGTTAGAGATTGCAGGGCAGCAGGGCTCAGTGAACTATGACCTGTGCTCTAAATTCAGGACCTTTGTCTGATTGTGTAAATAGTTTTATTGGAACACCTCCACTCCCACTTGTTTGTAACAAATGCAATAACAGATAAACATGATAATTCCAGTATTTATTTCATAATACATCTGAAACATTCTGAATCCATCGATCAGCAGTCACCATAGTTATTCTAAATACTCATCTGATCAAGTTCCTTATTGATTCAGCTACTTCCCAGGACTCCCATGGTCTAAGGCAGAGTCATCAAACCATGGCCTATGGGCCAAGTCTTCCTTGGTACCTGTGTTTGTAAAGAAAGCCATGCCCATTTGATCACATGCAGTCTGTGGCTGCTTTTGCACTATAATGGCAGAGTTGAGTAGTTGTCATACAGACTGCAAAGCCTAAATATTTACTGTCTGGTTCTTTACCAAAAATGTTTATCAGTCTCTGACTTAGATAGTCTCTTGGTGAGTCTCTCTATCTACTGGATTTTGTGGGTATGTGTGTGTCCCAAGTCTCTTTCATGCTTGTGTTAAGTTGCACATATATAAATGCAGCATTTCTCTAGCCTCTGAAAATGCTTCTTCTAAGTGGCAGGTCGAGAGTTGTAGTGGTTAGGAGCATGGGTTTTGGAGCCAACTGGTTTGTCTTTGCCACATCCTGCCTGCATGACTTAGGCCCTAGAAGCACAAAACTGCTTGAAAGTGGGGTGTCAGTACCTCTCAGCAAGGACTGTGAGACATGAGCAAGGTGCTGTGTGTCAGGTGCCTGACATTGTGTGCTTATTGTTGGCTGTTAGTGTGGCTTGTGACTAGTACTCAATAATACAACTTGAAGAATATCTTCCCTGCCCCAACCTATCCTTGTTTTGGTGATTTTAAAAGAGACTTCTGAACTTCTTTGGGATTTGGCAACTCCAAAGTGATACTTGGAAGATCTCCTGGGCAGCCCGTGTGGAACATTCAGTGCATTTGTTATTGGAGTGTAGAGGGCTTTTCTGTGTATTACTCTGTCAGTCTAGAGAGGAGTGTGTTGGCTTTTGCCTCCCAGGCAAGTATAGAGCCAGAGCCCTCTGCAGGTCAGCAGAGGAGAGCCCTCTGCATCTCCCAGCCAGTGTGGCAGGGGCCATGCCTGCCAGTGACGTCTCGGGAATTGTGTCATGGATGGTGCCACTCACCCGAGTCAATGCAATTCTTGTTTCTGAGGTGAATTGATCTCTGTCTCCAACAGCCTGACCCAAATTCTGATCCCTAGTGATACCTCTTATCTAACTGGACAGACCCGGTCCACTTGTGTTCTCTAATGAACAGTAATGGAAACCTGAGGCGAGGTGACATTTCCCTTCATGGTCCATCCACACCTTGTTAACCCTGGCTTCTCTGGGCTGGGGCACTGTCCTAGAAAACCTGCCAGCTCAGGCTCAAACAGCTGTGGGCTCCCAGTTTCTCTCTGCTGACCCCCATCCCACTTGCCTGCTGCCTGTTTCCTCCTTGACCTCCCGGTTCTGTGTGCCTGCTCTTCCCTACCTTCTGCCTGTCTCCTGGTTCCCTGAGCTTTTTAGTCCTAGACTGGCCCTTTGGCTTCTGTTTTTCAAGCCTGGTCCTTGAGGAAATGTCTGTCATTGGCTGGACTATCCCCCACATTTTGT